TTTCCATAATTTGATACCGGAAAGGGTCCAGCAATATCTATAGCAATCCGTTCAAAGGGGACACCAACATTGTAGATTTGCATTGCTCCTTTTAGCCTTCTTTTGGGTCCTTTGACTGAAGCGCATGTGTTACATTTTCGACACCAGCTCTCTACATCTTTTCTAAGCCAGTAGAATCCTTCTCGTATTTTGTCAAGGGTCTTGTTCACTCCTAAATGTCCACCAGAAGGGCCGCCATGCATTTCATCAAGGATTTTGGTCGTTCTACTTCTTGGTATTACAACTTGCATGCGGTGTTTTGATCCATCAGCTGATTCCCATTTTCGTTTCAGCAAATCCCCTTCCAAATACAAAGAGTCCCACTGAGCCCAATAACCCTTTAACACGGCACTATATTCTGAGATGCTTTGCCAGTCCGGTCGCTTGCCCTCCTTCTTCCATGTAATCAGATGTTGTAGGTCCTCATCCGCAAACTGTGCATCAGCAAGATCCGTCGGTGTCCAACCGTCATCCGCTGATATTGTTGTTGCTCTTATGTCTTCCGATTGTATCTTCTCCTCGTGACGACAGCAGTATTTGCATCCTGGTAAACATGGTCGACGTGAGAAAGCATCAGCATTACTATGAGTTGTTCCTTTGCGGTGCACGATCTCGAAGTCGTACATTTGTAAACGCTCCAACCATCGGGCCATCTGTCCTTCAAGATCCTTGAAGTTGAGGAGCCATCTTAACGGTGCATGATCAGTTCGGAGAAGAAATTTCTGTCCATAAAGGTACTTGTGGAAGTGTTTTGTTGCATTGACTATTGCTAGTAACTCCTTCCTGGTCACACAATAGTTTCGTTCGGGTTTTGTGAATCCTCTGCTATAATACGCTAGCACCTTTTCTTCTCCGTCTATATGCTGTGACAAAACGGCTCCGATTCCGTGGTTACTTGCATCAGTATCTAACACGAACGTCTTGCCACGAACTGGATATGCTAGCAAAGGAGCATCACATAGTTCAACTTTTAACTTTTCAAATGCTGAGTCGCATAGGGTATTCCAGTTGAAAACTCGGTCCTTCTCGGTAAGTTGGTGGAGAGGTCTGGCAACTTTTGCAAAATCCTTTACAAAACGTCGATAGTACGTTGCCAATCCCAGAAAACTGCGCAATTCATTTTTATCCTTTGGAGTTGGCCAGTCTTTCACAATTTCTATCTTGCTTGGATCGGTTCGAACTCCATCTGAAGATACTACATGTCCCAAATAGTTAACTTCTTTAGAAAATAACCTGCACTTTTTAACGTTCAGCTTTAAATTTGCCACCCGAAGTCTTGTGAAGATCTCCCGTAAGTTTTCGACGTGTTGATCAAATGTTCTTCCTAGAACAATTATGTCGTCTAAATAGACAAGACAGGTTTTCCAGTTAAGACCTTACAATACACATTCCATCAGTCGCTCGAATGTAGCTGGAGCATTGCACAATCCAAATGGCATGACGGTGAATTGCCACAACCCCGATCCGATAGAAAACGCTGTCTTTTCGCGATCGTTCTTGTCGATTTCTACCTGCCAGTATCCGCTTTTCAAATCAAGCGTAGAGAACCAACTTGAGCCAGATAGGGTGTCCATTATGTCATCAATCCTCGATAACGGATAGCTGTCCTTTTTAGTCACATCATTTAACTTCCTATAATCAACGCAAAAAAGGGTAGTGCCGTCCTTCTTCTTTACCAAAACAACTGGCGAAATCCAGGGACTTGATGACGGTTCGTTGACGCCTTGATTCTGCATTGTCGTTATCATTTCGTTTACTTCTGTTTGTTTTGCTAGAGGAAGACGTCGTGGTACTTGTCGGATCGGTTTCGAATCCTGAGTATCAATTCGGTGAGTTACCAGAGCTGTTTTACCTTGGTCATTGTCACCGGTTGAAAACACGTCTGCAAAATCAGCAATCAACGCCTTGGCTTTTAGACGGTCTTCTTGATACAAATTAAGTTCATCTAGTAGATTTTTGGTAAGTTCTTTGAGTCTATCTTTGTCAGTTGGTAGAACTTTTTCCTGTTGCTCCACATCTAATGATTTCACCAAATTTATTGATTGGCAATTACCTATTTCCTCGCCTTTTTTAATTTTAATAGTGTGTTTAGCGGTATTCATTATTCTGACAGGAATAAGACCATTTTTGTTCGCTTCTACCAGGCATTTTCCAATGACCGCGTTCTGTACATTTGTCGTTGAGGTTGGCTCCATCAAATAGAACTGGTGGCCACCAGGATCGCAATTCAACTTGCCCCATACGATGTTTTCAGATGATTGAGGTAGTTCCATGTCACAATCGACTGTTACTCGAATGCATTTTTCGTCGCTATCCCCCATTATCACTTCTGTATTTCTCCATCTAAGAATGCGTTGTTTTAAGTCAATTTTGAACCCATATTTTGTCAGAAAGTTGACACCTATTATGCATTCGTCGATGATATCCCCGACTAAAAATGAATCTTCGAATAACAAGTCGCCTAGCTGAACAGTACGGAGAATCTTTCCATAGACTGGTGCTGTTCCTCCGGTAGCTGAGCATTCTTCATGTACTTGGCGTAGACGTACGTCACATTTTGATGCTTGCTTTGCTGATTCAAAAGTGAGACTGTGCGCAACGGCATCCTTGAGTTTTCGTTTATCTGACAAGAGAAGGGATTGCTTGAGTTCCGAATCACGAAGGGCTTTGATAAACGTATCCAGGGCAGTTTCGTCTCTATGCTCGGGGTCTGATGTCGGATACGACAGCAATGTCAACCGTTCGATATCTTTTGCCAGCTGCTGAATGGATTCGCCAGATCGTTGCGTTCTGTTTCTAAGTTGAGACCGATAAATCTGCTTCATGTGTTCTTCACCATAACGTAAATCCAACGCGCTAACCAGAACTTCATAGTTGAAGTGGTTCTCCGCCGGAATCGTCTGAAGAACCTCTGCTGCTGAACCTCGCAGGGCCAGTATCAGTGCTGTTGCTCGTTCTTTTCCGTTCCAACAGTTACTAGTTGCCGCTGCTTCGAACTGGGTTTTATAAACGTTCCAGGACATCTCTCCGTCAAATGCTGGTACCTTCAAATTTCTTCCGGATGCGTGATCTAACGGCATGGCCATTTTTTTGGATTGCTCCAATTCTCGCTTCAATTTGTCTATCTTGTGATCTACCTCAACGGTCTGACGATCAAGTTTCTGTTCGATCATTTCTATTCTTGTTGACTGTTCTTCAATCTGTTCTGCCACTTCCAATTTTACGTGTTTTACCTGGTCCTTGATCTGTTTTAACTCCTCTGTCTGTCGTTCGGACTGTTCCTTGATCTGTTGTTTTAACTCTTCTGTCTGTCGATCGGACTGTCGTTCGGACTGTTCTTTGATCTGTTTTAACTCCTCTGTCTGTCGTTCGGACTGTTCCTTGATCTGTTGTTTTATTTCAGTTGACATACTAAGCAGAAGTTCCATCATTTTAGCGGTTGTAAACGTGCCTGTGCCAATTTCATTGTCTTCGTCAGCACCATCAAACTTGAATTCGTCTGGGTCCTTACCTTCGTCAATGAGAGCTTCTCTCAGACGTGCTACTAGTACTTCTTTGTTGCAACTTGTGACCAGGCTTCGTTTCTGTAGTTCTTCTCGTAGTTGAACTACGTTCAACCCACACAGTTTTGACATCGTGTTCTTTTTCTACGAGTAGTAATTCGCTGGTCGAAGATCTCACTTCTGACACCAATGTTATAATACTCGCTATCGTAACCGATTTACGGGTTCAAATCCTCGATTGAATAAAATATTCCAAACAGTTATTAAACTTTATTTACAGAAGAAATCAACTATTATAGTTTATGAGAAAGCTTTAAATTAATTAACAAACTGTTTCATAGCAGTGTGTGTCTGTCAATATCAAATTTGAACATTATAAATATCCAGTATTTTATGAAAACTCTATTTTGTAATTAAGTAATATGATGTGTAGAAAATAATAATAAAACTTCATGTTTCATTTAAGATGTGCTTTTTTTTAAAATACGGATTCGTTTTGTTTCTTTTAAAATTATTTTATACAAAAGATTAGGTCTTATTTATCGATTAAGGCAGGCAGTGCGAAGTCTGCCGGGTAATCTAGTATATATATATATATATATATATATATATATATATATATATATATATATATATATATATATATATATATATATATATATATATATATATATATATATATATAATATATATATATATATATATATATATATATATATATATATATATATATATATATATATATATATATATATATATATATATATATATATATATATATATATATAAGTATATAATATATACAATACATACAAAGACACATTGAATTAAAAATTTCCAGGACAACACAAATAATTGTTGAATAATTTCATATGTATATTGTAATCAGTAACTCTATAAACAAGTGGAGCAATAGAGAATAAGTATTTGAGTAAAGCAAATAGAATTAGTTCAGAAAATTAAAAACGCATCCACCACTTTAAAGGATACATTGAACTATTGTATCACATCGGGTCGTCCGTCCGTGTTCGTTTTTTCTCTGTGACGTGTCGTTCTTTGTGCAGTCCGTCGTATATTATCAGAAAATATAAAAATCAGGTATGTCTGTTCAAATTTTTTCGTATTCTCGGATTGAGCTGAGTTCGTACTAACAAAGCTGTTGCATTTCTGTTTAATCCGAGATGGATATGAATGAGATATAAGGCGGACGGATTGCTGTTGGTGGCCATGTTCATGTTGCGCATTAAGAAAAATTTTAAACTTATTATATTATTCATTGTGATTAAATTAATTTTAATTTGACTTCATTTATCGCGCAAAAATTTTAAATTAAATTTAGCTATTCAAAAAAATAAAAATAGTAGTAAAGGAGTGTAAACGTAAGTAAAAGTAAGTAAAGAAATATTAAAAAATTGAAAGGTTTCTAATTAATTATAAATTTTAATTTCTGCAGCAGGTATGTCAGTTCAATGTGGTCTGAAGTTGGCTGGGCCTGCTCCCCAATTTTCTGGAACAGCTGTGGTTGATGGTCAGTTCAAGCAAATATCTCTTTCTGATTACAGAGGAAAATACGTTGTTTTGTTTTTTTACCCTCTTGATTTTACTTTTGTTTGCCCAACGGAAATCATTGCTTTTTCTGATCGTGTTAGTGAATTCAAAGCAATTGGTGCTGAGGTTATTGCATGCTCAATTGATAGTCAGTTCACTCATCTAGCTTGGTGAGTTAATTTTTTATTTTTAGTGATATCTAATGCTTATTTTATTAATTAAATAAATTTAATTAAGTGTTCTGAATTTTTGTAAACTTTAGGATTCAGACTGATCGTAAAAAAGGTGGACTTGGTGGACTGAACATTCCATTATTGTCTGACCTTAACAGAAACATTTCAAAAGCATATTGTGTTTACAATGAAGAATCTGGAGTAGATTTCAGGTTTCTGGAATTAACATTAATTTTTTTTCAACTTTTATTTATGTTGATGATCATTTCAATTTATTTTTTATTTCAGGGGACTGTTCATTATTGATGGCCACCAAAATCTCAGGCAAATCACAGTTAATGATTTGCCTGTTGGTAGGTCAGTTGATGAAACTCTTAGACTGGTGCAGGCTTTCCAATTTGTTGAAAAACATGGAGAAGGTGACAATTTTCAAGTCTTCTGTTTGCACAAAATATAATATATAATTGAACATTTTTTATTTAGTGTGCCCTGCCAATTGGAAACCTGGAGCTGCTACTATCAAGCCTGATCCTATGAAAAGCAAGGAATATTTTGAAAAAGTTTAACCTGTGACCTTGTTACAACACTCATGGAATTTGAGTTAAAAACATTCAGATAGCTTAGTTATAATAATTTTTTCAACAAAATGTTATGACATTTGTTTTTCAGATATTTGCTTGTATATAAAAGATTACTTCTTGGTTGCAGTTGATAGGCCATTGGGTGATCGAGTTTTTTTATCATATTTTTTTGGTTTGAAGAGTTAGGATTGCCAACAATAGAAAGATAGTTGAAGCCATATTGTGGTGATTATTGTGTTACATTCAAAATTTTTATGTCGATTTCGTTCGAGTTTAAAAGTAATCGACCTTGTTTTTGCTTTATAAGGCTATGTATGAAAAAATTTGAAGGAATCTGTATATGACGTTTGGCCACTTTTTTATCTAAAGTCAGACACCTACGCTTTTCTGGTTTTCTGTTCTATTTTTCATGGCAATTTTTATGAATTTTTGGAATTTAACTTTGCCTTCTTCATTAGTGCTGGATTGCTGGCAACGACATCAATCGTTTTGAGGTGTTCAGTGATGGCGTAAGCTGAGTATTTTGTCACATTGCTAACGCGAAGGATTTTCTTGCCAGAAAATTTTTGCCTGCAGTAATTTTCAAATCATTCGATGATCGCGAGCCGATAACTGTTGGTATCCTTCTAACCGTTGGTAAAATGCAGTAGTAATTTAGATGTCAGTTTAATTTTCACTCAAATTTAATTAATTCAAAATGCGTTTTATTTACAGTAGTAATTAAATCGTCAGTTTAATTGTTTCTCAAATTTAACTAATTCAATTTATTAATATTCTTGCAACCAACGTTATCATTGAGCCCAATCTATCTTTATTATTTACTTCGAAATTGTAATATAAGTGAACCAGAAACCCAGATTAGTTATAAAGATTGAGAAAGATCTCGATTAAATCGTCGTGTTTTAGCTGACTATTAGAGGACGTAGGTGGCTGGTCACGCTGTGGTCGGGCGAGTAACGATTTCGGGTGCGTTTCACGGAATGCTAATATCTTATTTAGGTTTCTGGTTTTCTCTTATTTGACGATTCTGCAGCTCATACTTTCACTTTTTTGGTTTTTAATTATTTATTTTCAAATATATTACATTGATATAATTGTGATTGTCCTACTATTATATATCTACTATTATATATATTCTTATTTGTTTTGTTCAATTTTATCTTCTAATTTTTTCGCTTTTATAATTGATTTGCCTTGGTGCAGCATCGCCGAAAGGGGGACAAATGCTTAGTGGTCCAGCGAGTTTTAACTTTTGAAAATATTATCATTAGAAAACGTGTAGCTATTATTCAAATATTTATGTTTGTTATGCTGGACTTAATTACAATCAGGTTAAACCTGTTGCGGTTGCGCTAATGTTTGAGAACACCGAACCAAAAAGAGCAGTGAGCGGGAGAAGAAAATAGTATCTGTTTGGGTAGGGTGGACACGTGTTTCGTTCCTACCGGGGACTCATCAGCAGCCCGAACACCTTACCGGCACCTTACCGGAATAGTTATCGCAGTTTCTTATATAGCCCACAGAAATCACTTCGTTAGCTCGTGGTGTTTTTATTTATTATTGAAGATTGTTAGTTTTTAGTCGTTAGAATTTTCAATCCGACCAACCTCAGGCATCAGTAAAATATAGATTGTCGTACTTGGTCTTATTTTATTATTTTTATATGGTATTTTCAAAACAATATTGTAGGCGCATAATAAAATTACCATCTCACTCAGTACTATCTTATGCTGAAATTAACAGAATTTTTTGAACGAGTCACACGACTAGAGAGTAAGTGACACGTCAAACTTCGGTTGAACCTTTCGTCTTCAGCTCTACTAATATAAAATTAAATAACTTTTTAAGATTAATATGAACATATGCCATAAGAGTGCACGAGATAAAGTGGATGATGATTTTAAAGTAAACGATTTCTATAAACTCACTGATGGTGTAATATCTTATTTAACGGGACGTTTTCCAATAGGTAGCTAGGAATATTAATTTTTTCAATTTTTTCAAGTTTCTCCAAAAATCGGAGAAACTGATCTGAAAAAGAAATGTTCTAATTTTTGCAAAAAATATGCAATGATGTAAGCAGGGATTTTAGTGAAGAAGTGAAATGACTGAAGTCAATTTATTCAGAGAGCACACAAAGTGAAAACCTTCATCCCATAAAACTGATAAATGAAAATTATTAGTTGAAGTTGGAATCTATATTCCCAAATATTTCAACATATTTAGTATCTTTTTTCTGGTTTCATACAGCCGCGTTGATTTAAAATCGTCGTGCTTGACAGGCCTCTCTCTTATAGCATTACAACGGCTCCAAGTTCAGTCACAGCGTCGTTAAACTTGACATGACCTCAGTTTTAAATTTATAATAATTTTTTCGTACAAGAATAAACAGCGCATTGTTATGACGGATATTTATTTATTCACAACAAAGTAAACAGTTAATAACGTGCTAATTAACTAAGATTAAGAGAATACATAAACTATTGGTTATTAATAGAAGAATAGAAGCAGAGTAGTTGGGATATAATAATAAGAAACTTGAAATTGCAGACGTCAATGTTTAATGAATGATGTTTGACACATTTGACACAAGTAATTTTCATTTTAAACTCATATATTTTAAACCCAGTCATGAATGGATAAGGAAGACATATAGGAAATGACTGTGATTTGTTAGATAAATGACAATTGATGACAAGTTGCTAAAATGACAATGACAAATCAATAAAAAAAAACCGTGGAAAATGTTCTCAAATATCAATAGAAAAATATTAAAACTCATAAGATGTGTATTTGGCTAGCTAAAAATAATAGTTAATAATTCAATGAATCAACCAACTATGAAGATGAAAATATATAATTTGATAATGGAATGCCCTTAGGAGGTTTAATAACTGAATATGCGGAGACCGAATAAGACTTTATGTCTTGTGGTGGCCACCGCAGGTATATATAAGAATAGTTAATGAAATAAAATAAGGAAAATAACTGAAGCAAAAAGATAATTGAAGATAAATAAGTAAATGTTTGTGTTATCCATATATAGACATATAAATATGTAAATGTTCGCTCAGTACATATATAAACATATAAATGTTTAACCATTCATAAAGACCATTCATCCGCATCATTTGTTCTAACGTATTCTTAATATAGTATTAGGTGGTGGAGTCGAGATCCAGTGTCAATAAAAAAGCACGGAATTTTGACTTGAAATGTTGTGGGCTTATGATGGCTCTTAAACTTTCACTAATAGTAAGCGTGGAAGCAAAGCCATGTGGGAACAAGTCAATAAGATTAGAGGCTCTGAGAAATCACTCAACACATTAACCGTACAGCATATTGATGCCAACACACTCAACACCCACTTAGCTTCCATGTCAACCGACCCATCCTACAAAATTCCACCAACAAAAGCAACAACAATCAATAGTCGTCAACATCATCAATTTACCCCATACTCCGTCCTGCACATGTTAACGAAGACTTGCCCATCCGGTACAGTCCAGACAGTCTACCAGCATGGTTTCTACAAATCATCGCTTCATTCATCTCCAGCACCTTATGTTCACTCTACAATCACTGCTTAATACACTCATTCATCCCATCACAATGGAAATCCAGCACAATCCATTCAATTCCTAAAACAAAATACCCGTCATCACCAAAAAATTATCGCCCCTTATCTATCACCCCTATACTCTCACAAACCACTATTACAAGATCAGTTTGCATTTTGCCCTACAGGTTCATCTACATCCGCCATCATCTCTCTTACTTCCACAATAACATCTTTCTTTAAAAATAATAATTATGTTCATCTTATTGCTCTCGACTTCTCTAAAGCTTTTGACACTCTCAATCACTTCTCACATCTCTTCCACTACCTGACAACATTTACAATATCATAATAAATTTTCTATCTGATAGGAGTCAGTCTATTTTTTTAGTTCTACTTTTTCATCTATTCTACCTATTAATTCTAGCGTAGTTCAAGGTTCTGTCCTTGGACCATCTACCTTAGGTAGAGTAGATGAAAGAGTAGAGCTAAAGAAAGTACAATGACTCCTATTAGATAGAAAATTTATTATGATATTGTAAATGTTGTCAGGTAAAGGAAGAGAGGCTAATTTATTTGAAAGAAGTGATTGAGAAGCGATATTATCTATGGTAATATATGTCAAAAGCTTTAGAAAAGTCGAGAGCAATAAGATGAACATTATTATTATTTTTAAGAAAAGATGATATCGTGGAAGTAAGAGAGATGATGGCGGATGTAGATGAACCTGTAGGACAAAATGCAAACTGATCTTGTAATAGTGGTTTGATGGATGGATGGTTGAAACATGGATAGATGAATGACCTAACGATGAATTTTTTTTCTACAATACGTGAATGTATGGGGGTGATAGATATTAGGCGATAATCTATTGGTGATGACGGGTATTTTGTTTAGGAATTGGATGAAATGTGCTGGATTTCCATTGTGATGGGATGAATGAATGCATTAAGAAGTGATTATAGAGTGAACTTAAGGTGCTGGAGATGAATGGAGCGATGATTTGTAGAAACCATGCTGGTAGACTGTCTGCACCTGTACCGGATGGACAGGCCTTCGTTAGCATGTGCAGGACGGAGTCTCACATCCGTTCTTACCTATTGGTCGCGACACCTCTATTTGCGTTTCTTGGTTACAATAATTGAGTTGTGTTATCTAAAACCTTATTCGGCAAGCTATATATAGGATAAAGATTGTCAGAAATGCGATTATAGATGAATATCACAGCATGTTCCGCGTTAGTTAGCTTCCTGTTTAATTTTTCGATTAAACAAATTAAACAAGAAGCTAACTAAAGTGGAACATGCTATGATTTTTATCAATAATATATAAATATATGCATACAACCATATATATAGAATAATATTATTAATAGAATAATATAGAACCATATATATATAGAGTATATACATTATATATATATATATATATATATATATGCAAATTTCATTGAAATTGTTTGCCCATTTTGCATTAATTAACTTCTTTATAAGACATTCAACGAGGCGGTATTGTTTGAGTTCATATTTATCTAAAATGGCAAACAATTTCAATGAAATTTGCATTTCTGAAAACCTCGTTCCTAAATATATATATATATATATATATATATATATATATATATATAGGGTTTAGACTATCATAAATACAATTATTTATAAAGATCACTGCGTTTTTGGCATATTCAACTTGTAGTTGAGTTTCTCAATTTTTCTAACGAGACTTTTATCATCTTGATGAAGTTTATTAAGGTGAAATAAAAAACTTTTAATATTTGACATTTTTGACAAAACATTATTAATAACGTTATTACCACAGAAAAGCTCTTTTCGGCATCAACTGTCATCATCAGTGTAGTTATATAGTATTGTTCCGTTTTTGTGTCTTTGTTTTTAAAGCGAATTTGATTGTAACTTAATTAGAATTAAAGTTATTCAGGTGTTTCTTTGCTGGAAGAATATTGGTATTATTTAGTTGAATATTTATTGCTGGTTTACCTTTATCGATGAAAATTGATTCTGCTATCTTCAATTTGAAGTATTCTCTGCTGTAATAAATTACTTAGGTGTTATTGTCTAAAATTTCCCTTGTTATAATAGTGTTATGTTGTTCCATTAGGTGGTCTTTTATTGTTCCATGTTGCTAAGAAGACTCACTATGCATAAGACGGAACAATACTGTATAACTACACTGATGATGATAGTTGATGCCGAAAAAAGCTGTTATTAATAATGTTTTGTCAAAAATGTCAAATATTAAAAGTTTTTTATTTAACCTTAATAAACTTCATCAAGATGATTAAAGTCTCGTTAGAAAAATTGAGAAACTTAACTAGAAGTTAAATAAACAGAGCGGATCTCAAGACTCATCTGTTTTCAAAATTCATTGGGGAGCGCTGTTGAACATCGCGGAAATAGTGCTTTACTAGCTAATTGATTGATTGAATGCCGAAAACGCAGTGATCTTTATAAATAATTATATTTTTACAATATTCTATATCAACAAAAAATAATTATATATATATATTGATTATTATATATTGATTATATATATATATATATATATATATATATATATGTGTGTGTGTGTGTGTGTGTGTGTGTGTATAGAACCATGATGTTTTGTCCCCTAAGCAAAGATATTGCATTTTTTGTAAATGTTTGGTTTTCTTTTTTTGCTTTCTTTGTCCATCGATCTATATTTGTCTTTATTTATCTCAACGTTTGTTTATCTTCTAAGTAATATAATGTTTGCAATGTGAGTTAGGTATGAGTTAAACTGATAAATTGCTAAAAAAAGTTTAAGATTTAGATTACCATTTTTGTGTTTTGAATATCGTCGGAGTAGTTTTTTAATTTATATTATATATATTTACTAAAATTATAATAATGGAAGATAATGACTATGATTCTCGAAATGAAGTGAATGAAAGCATTGAAAAAGAAGATTTTAACCATGAAACTTCCAATATGGGGGCACGGATGGAACCGGACCAAGAAGATAGTGTCGTGGTTTCAGAGGACGAGGGCAGCGACTGCAGCACCAATGCTACTGACGATACTAAGGAAGGCCATGATAATCAAAACCGAAAAGTTAATAAAGTGTTAAAAATGAGGTTTAAAAGGGTTAGTATTAAATCAATCAGGCAGATTGCAGAGAAGCTTCTTAACTTAATTAAGTCTTAACATAGCTTTATCTGTTCTGTTTTGTTGATGTTGGTTTAGTATTACTATTATGTATTATATTAAAGTTAAATAAAATTCTATTTTAATTTGATTATTAGCACCAGCTTGATAGAACTATTGTTGGGGGAGCACGTTTACTTTTTACATAAAGAAAACATGTTATAAATTTAGTTTGCAAAATGTTTTTCTATAGTTATAGTATGATATGAATTGACGTATTGTGTGGAAAGACAGTTTTCAGCAAAGGTATGCTGTTCTGACTATGATGTATGCAACTAATTTTGTGAGATATGCATGGAAGTGAGAGTACAAATAAGCTTAAAAGTGGACTTAGATTAATAAAAACAAAAATTAAAATGTTAATATTATATCATATACTTAGAATAATAAACATTTAATTTGGCACATTTAAAACAAAATAAATTGAAACAGAATAATAAAATATTTACAATGGAAATGTTTTTATAAAAACAAATTCACATTTTCGTGCTGTAACTGCTGTAATGATCGTGCATGGTAGGCAGGAAAGTATACTTTAATATTTATACAATATTCTATAAATTCTACTGAATGTTTGGCGTTAATATGCATATTAATAGAATTTATAGAATATTGTAAAAACTATGGTCTATTACCAACATTTAATATTTATATGTATTTTTAACATAACATGAATATAACATAACATAACAGGGTTTATAGTGGTTAAGTAGACTGGTGTTTGTGTGAGAGTTACTGCCAATTAATTTTTCCTAATATCCTAGTTCTCCAATCTTGATTTGAAAACTGTTTGTTGATCCACGGAAACTGTCTCGTCATTCAGTTCATTTCAGGTGTTTATCATCATGTCGCTAAAAAATCTTTGCTTGATTTGACCAACTGACTTCTTAAAGAGTTTGTATCTATGACTTTGTAGTCCTCCTCTAGCCTCTGGTTGAAAAAATCTGGTAAACGGCACATCCTCTTTTCCAGTAATCAGTTTGTTTGTCAGTATCATATCTCTTCTGCATCTTCTTTCTAAAGTAGTCACTTTCACATTTTCTCAATCTCTTTTTGTATTCAGTTTTTTAAAGACTTTTGATCATCTTTGTTGCTCTCTGCTGTACCTTCTCCAGAATGTCTTTATCTTTTTTTGTAAATTTGTACTCCACACCTGAACACAGTATTCCAGATGGGGGCGAACTAAAGTTTTATACAAATTTATAATTATCAACTTCTCCCTACTGGCCACTGTTCTTCTTATCCATGCTTTGGCCACTGCGATTGCACATTGTCTTGATGTTTTTGTGCTTGCGTGAATGGTGACTCCAAGGTCCTTTTCTTCCTTTGTTGATCGTATCTCCTGATTTTCCATTTGATATTGAAACCCCTCATTCTTTCTTTCCTTGTGCTTAACTTTACATTTATCTATATTAAAAAAAATTTGCCAGTTTTCAGACCATTTGCACAATTTTGCCAAATCTTGTTTTAACACTTCTGCATCTTCCACATTGTTGATCTTTGCACACCATTTCGTGTCATTGGCAAACTTTGATATTTTTGATATCACTGTCGTTGATATAAATAATGAATAGTGGAGGTCCCAACACAGAACCTTGAGAAACCCTACTTGTAACGTTAATCTAGGATATATTCATGCCTTTGATTTGCACTTGTTGTCGTCTGTTCTTAAGCCAGTTGGTAATCCATTAAAGCAGATTACCAGATATTCCACATGTGTGTAATTTCTTGACTAGTCATCTATGTGGTGTCTTTTCAAACGCTTTTGCAAAACCCAAATAGATTATATCTACGGAGTGTTTCACCTGTCTTGATGGATTCAAGGACTGCAGATTGTCTGTTCCTCGAGTTTTGTTTTCTTTGAGGGATTCTAGCATTTTCACCTTTTTAACACCATTTTTTAGTTTTTACTATTAACTTATTGTAAAAAATGGGATATTGTAAATATAAATATTTTAATTTTTAATTGCAGGGCATGAAACAGTACCTGATACACTGGGCTGATACAGACCCTACTTTGGATTCATGGCATTTTCTCAATGAGTCTTTTGAAGGTTTTCATAAAGAAGTAAAGAAGTTTGAAGATGAACGAAAAAAGTTACATTTAAAAGTAAGTTGCATGTGATGCAGCTGTATGAAGGGGCGAAGACAAAGGTGAGGGTCGGAAGGGGGATGTCGGACGCTTTTAGTGTTAAGGTAGGAGTGCATCAAGGATCAGTGTTATCACCGTTTTTGTTTGCAATTGTGATGGATGTTGTGTATGAAAACATAATAGAGGGGTTGTTATTTGAGATTTTATATGCAGATGATTTAGTCTTGAATTGCAGTTAAAATTTGACAGATGGAAAAGTGTTATAGAAAAGAAAGGGTTAAAAGTTAATATTGGAAAGACGAAGGCACTGAAAAAGGTGGAAGGCACGTTCAAATGTAAGAAATGTGTTCATGGTGTGATTAATAGGACGGACGCAAGGACGGGGTTGAGTGATGGTATTGAAAGAGTGGAAAGCTTTGTTTACTTAGGGGATAAGCTGAATGCGGATGGAGGATGTTTGAGCGCAGTTACGGCTAGAGTTCGTGTGGGATGGATGAAATTTAGGGAACTGGGTGGGGTATTGTGTGGAAAGAAATGGTCAGTGAAGATGAAAGGGAGGGTATATAAAGCATGTGTGAGAGCAGCGATGATATATGGTGGTGAAACTTGGGTGTTGAGGAGAGAGGAGGAAAGTGTACTGCAGAGGGCTGAAAGAGCTATGGTGAGGATGATGTGTGGGGTTAAAGTGAAGGATAGGAGGAGTAGTACAGAGCTGATGTCAATGATGGGACTGAATGAGGACATTGTGACATTGATAAGGAGATCGAGATTGCGGTGGTATGGACATGTGTTGAGAAGGGATGAAAGGGTCGGGATTAGGCGAGCGTTGGAGTTCGAGGTTGAAGGAGTGGTAGGAAGGGGTCGTCCGCGGTTGGGATGGAGAGAGCAGGTGGAGAAGGACAGGGTGAAAGCGGGGTTGCGTGATACTGAGGCGAGTGACAGATGTGGATGGAGTCGAGGGGTATTTCGGTTTCATCATAGGTAGCCAAACGGCAACCCCCGATCTCGGGGAAAATGCCGTCTAAACGTGTGTTGTTGTTGTTGTTGTTGAAGGTAATGGTGAGTGGGGAAGGTGGGGAGCGAGTGATAAATAAAATAGACCCCTGTGGGGTATGTGACAGGAGAGTGAAGGCTAACTCGGTATTGTGTATAGGATGTCAGAAGTGGGTGCATAAGAGATGTAGTGATGTAAGGAGGGCACTGAAAAAGGTGGAAGGCACGTTCAAATGTTCATGGTGTGATTAATAGGACGGACGCAAGGATGGGGTTGAGTGGTGGTATTGAAAGAGTGGAAAGCTTTGTTTATTTAGGGGTTAAGCTGATCGCGGATGAAGGATGTTTGAGCGCTGTTACGGCTAGAGTTCGTGTGGGTGGATGAGTTCGAGGTTGATAGGAGTGATAGGAAGGGGTCGTCCGCGATTGGGATGGAGAGAGCAGGTGGAGAAGGACAGAGTGAAAGCGGGGTTGCGTGATACTGAGGCGAGTGACAGATGTGAATGGCGTCGAGGGGTATTTCGGTTTCATCATAGGTAGCCAAACGGCAACCCCCGACCCGATCTCGGGGAAAATGTCGTCTAAACGTGTGTTGTTGTTGTCATGTTCTGTAAAAATGCCACAGAAATGCGTAATTTGCTTGAAATTTGTTACAACAAATGTGTTTCATCAACTAGTTCTTCTAAATTACAGTTTCAGAAACCAATAAATGGCAAAAAAGACAAATAGACAACAGTTTTTTTTAAATGGGAAGAGAAACAAACTTCTGTACGTTTTGTAGGTAGTAAATGGTGATAAAACTTCTTAAGAATGCATCTGCACGTAGTAATATTGTGCACAAAAACAAAACTGAGTGTTCTAGATGAGGGGAAGAATTTCATTTTAAGGAATTTGTGAAATGCCAAATTTTATGATGATTTACTGCAGTGCCACAACAAGTGTGATAAATGCACTAAATTTATTGGAAAGTATGATTGGTGCCTATCCATTTAAGCACGAAATATTTAAGCTAAATAAATTTGAATAGCTGATACTGTTTGTAACATTGATAATATTACTAAAACCAGTACTAACTGACTACGCTATTAACACGGAATTATATAAATTGGATTGAGTCTGTCAGTTAGATAGACTTTTTTGATAGCATACAATTTCAAATGGACCATCCAGGGTTCAACATTCAAATTTGGACTAAGATGCCATAGATCCTAAATATCTTCTATTCTTATTTTCCACCAAAATCTGTTCTGTCATTCATTCATTTCTTGTTAAGTATTTTTTAAACCAAGCTAAAGAAAAACAAGAATAGCTAAAGAAAAACAAGAATAGTATTGAATGCAAAATAGACTGGGTCATCACCATAAATTACAATGTAGGCATGCTGGATGTTGGAAAATTGGTATAAATTTATTTGGGGCTAATGAAATTAGGATTGGGACTAATCTATTTTATCTTTTTATGTGACTATCACTTATTTTGATTCACATTCTTGGCAATTATTCTTCGGTAAATTCATTTTTTGTGAAATCTTGAAATGAAGCACTTTGATAGAACAACATTTACTGCAAAGGTGATTTTTAAGCATATGGAAAACGGTTACTGCCTGTAAAGCCCACACGATTTGACTATGCTTTGCTTCTTTTAACGCTTGGCCTTTTTATATAAAAGAGCCAAAATTTATTTCCACCTTTAATATTATACATTCTGTTTTTTTTATTTTTCAATTCGGTTTTATTATTAATTATGAAAAATAACTAACTTTTTCGATTTGAGGGAATTGGTCAATCATCAGATACCATTGAGAAACCTGCGGGCAAAGCATTGTCGTCATCAAAGCAGGTGAAACGTGCAAAACATAGTTGGTATTATTTATCGAGTAGTGAGGATGAGGACTGCATGCTTAAGGACAACTTCTGGAAGAACCTTGATGAAGGCCTCTATTGTTTTTAATCACTTGAATTAATCGTTCAATAAAATATCAATAATTTGTTTCTAAAACATTGTTGTATAATATAAATTGAAATGTATTGAAATGTTGATATTTTTTCTTAATAACAATAAAACTAATATTACAGGGAAATTGAATTTATTTCAAAGTTCATCTGATATGTACTCTGGAGTAAAGGAGGCAGGAAGGAGTGTTAGATCGAGCAGTACAAGAAGAGATTCTAATCACAGCAGAGTACCAGGTTGTCTTTTATATGCAAACAAAACTAAGCTTTCGAAAACTTTTATTCTAAAAAGTTTTATTCTATGTTAAAAAAAGCAATGTCGATTTTATTAGCTTTTCATATAGGAGAAGTGTTTTTTATTTGATTGGTTAGCTGATTGACAGCTATTTTATATTGATGACTTGGTACAGGCGAAGTGTCTGCCGTCATTCCAGAGGAGTTCCTGGCAGAAACAAAGCGTGTTACAAGGAGCAAAATTCAACCTATTAACGTCAAAATCAAAACATTCAAAGTTCCAACATCAAATATTTCAAAGGACAAACTTAAAAAAACTCTAGATTTTAAAGGTCTTTGCAACGTTGACGATGACGATGATGATAATATACAAGAGAGCAAATCAAAAGTAGCATCAAATATTTCTAAAAAACATGGAAGAAAAGGAAATGGTGATACAACTCGAAAAATAAAAAAATCAGAAAATAGAAAAACAAAATCAAAGACATCCAAATGTGTTGAGCATGTCAATGATGACTTTATAACAGAGAGGAGTGATGTAGTTGTTGAAGAAGGTGAAGGTCGTGGTGGCAGCGATGCTGAGGATGAGATCGGCTCATCGTTGGTCCCAACGTTCAGGGAGGAGTCTATCAGTGATCGCGATCCTCAACAACAACAACAACAACAACAACACACAAATGTTCATGCTTGTTATGATGACGATGGTGAGGACGATGGCGATGGTGATGACATTGTTGTTCCAATTGCTGCTGCAACAATTAACAATGTAGACAAAAATATTAACACAAAAGTAAAACGCAGCGAAGAGGCATTGAAACATTTGGATGAGACACTTGAATCTGTCGTTCATGGAAGTATTTTATGGTACGAAGAACATTTTGCAAGTGATGACAGTGCCGATAGTAGTATCAGTATTGATGACAATGATGATGATCATCATGAGGATAATTGTGCGAACGACGCGAATGGAAATTCCAGTGAACTGTTACAAAAAGATGTCAGTAGAAAAGAAATTACCGAAAATATTAAAATGTATAATGCTGAGAATAGCGAAGATTTGGTACAAGCTGATGATAAATTTAAAAAGCAGCAGAAAAAGAGCTCTAATAAAAGAAAACATTTTCAAACTGGTTGGACATCATTCTTGGAAGGAGGCAGCAAAAAATTAAAAACGAAACTTGAAAAGTTTAAGGATGCTTGCGTCAGTGATGACGATGATGAGGGCGATGAGGGTGAGGATGCAGAGGAACAACAGAAAAGTAATTTTCAAGATAATGAAAGCTGTGGCCATGATGTAATGTGTATGAATAATGCTGAGGGGGATGAAGTTGTTGAGACAAATACTGTCGGTGGGAATGTTGATATGGTTAATGAGGATAGATCTTCTGTAATTACTCCTTCCTTGTCAGCTACAACATTATCAGTAATTTCATCATCATCGTCGTCGTCGCTTGCTAGTACGTTATCCAGTTCAGTTAGTGATTTGAAAGTAACATTGTTGGAAATTCCTAATGATGCTAAAATGGAGCGTGAAAGTGCTTCTGCTGACGTCATATGTGCAAAAGCAGAAGACGATAAATTGGAAGTGAGTAACACTGAGTCGTCAGTCAAACCGATGGACGATGAAGCTAAAATGTCATTGGCTCGAAGAGTCAGTCAAGCAATCATGAAGAGCAGTCATCTCACTCATAAAAATCTTGATAATGAAGATTTGAAGATCACTAAAAGTGAATCTCAAGGAAATTCTCATAGTAAAGTTGAAAGATCTGTAAAAAGCAAATCTGATGAGAGAAAGTCTATGTTCATGATGAAGCTGTTGGAAGAAAATGACATAAAAGAAAAGATTCAAAAGGTTTGATGGAAAGTTTTTTGCCTCCTAACATTTTTTTAAATTGTAAGTTAACTAACAACATGTCGAATTGATTTATAAGAACTACCAAATTTTTTTTACATGTTTGCCATATAGCTTCAGAGCAGAACATTTGTTTCTGGTAAAGAATCAATACAAAGTGGGTCGTGTAGCTTGATTGCTGTTTCTTGCAAATGTTGACATTTTAATACTTTCTCATATTAGATTGCTTGAAAATTAACACAATTAGCAAATTTTGTTTCCAGATGATTTAACAAATGCTGTTGAAGCAAATGATATTGCCAAGGTTAAGTTCTTATTGACAACATTGGGCCAGTTTCCAAACAAGGACATTACTGGATCAAATCTTGTCTGGTCAGCTGTCAAAAATGGTATGCATTTTTATATATAGACATATTCAAAATAGAATCATTATGTAGAAACAATGATTATATTTTTGTGATATTGTATTAACATTAATAATTAATTTTATCAACAATATTGTTTAATAAAAAAACAAAGGCTACAACACTATGCTATCAGTGCTGGCAATGAAGAATGCCAACCTTGAATTAAAAAATAAGGATGGACTTACGCCTCTACTCTATGCTGCTGAGAAGGTATCCACGTTGGTTTGGATGGATGATGAAGCTGATTAGGATTGTGACACATTGATTGATAAAAATCATTTGATTAAATTATGATGGTGATGATAATGGAAATAGTATGATTAATACAATGGGGATGTTTAAGATTATCATCTTCATCACCACACCATCATATTTAATTTACATTAAATTCTTCATTAACGTCATTATTAAAATCATCTTTACCATCACAATATTTATAGTGTTAAGGATGCGATAAAAAATATGATGATGGTAAGAATGATCACGAGAATCTAGACGAGTTTGAGTAAACTAAATGAATATATATATATATATATATATATATATATATATATATATATATATGGTTAAAAGACCATGCTGCATATATATATATAAGTATATATATATATATCAGTATATATATACATAAGTATATATATATATATACTTATATATATATATATACTTATAGCATATATATATATAACAACAACAACAACACACGTTTAGACGACATTTTCCCCGAGATCGGGGGGTTGCCGTTTGGCTACCTATGATGAAACCGAAATACCCATCCACATCTGTCACTCGCCTCAGTATCACGCAACCCCGCTTTCACCCTGTCCTTCTCCACCTGCTCTCTCCATCCCAATCGCGGACGACCCCTTCCTACCACTCCTTCAACCTCGAACTCCAACGCTCGCCTAATTCCGACCCTTTCATCCCTTCTCAACACATGTCCATACCACCGCAATCTCGATCTCCTTATCAATGTCACAATGTCCTCATTCAGTCCCATCATCGACATCAGCTTTGTACTACTCCTCCCATCCTTCACTTTAACCCCACACATCATTCTCACCATAGCTCTTTCAGCCCTCTGCAGTACACTTTCCTCCTCAACACCCAAGTTTCACCACCATATACCATCGCTGCTCTCACACATGCTTTATATACCCTCCCTTTCATCTTCACTGACCATTTCTTTCCACACAATACCCCACCCAGTTCCCTAAATTTCATCCATCCCACTCGGACTCTAGCCGTTACTTCACTCAAACATCCTCCATCCGCGTTCAGCTTATCCCCTAAGTAAACAAAGCTTTCCACTCAGTATATATATATATATATATATATATATATATATATGTTGGTAATAGACCATAATTTTTACAATATTCTATAAATTCTACCGAATGTTTAACAATATTTCCCTATATATACAACAAGGAGCACTGACGATGATTCATTCGGAATCGAAATATGGCCTTATTTGCAGGATGAATTCGAAAAATAAGTTTATTTTGAATTTTAATAAACTAAACGTTCACCAAAAAACTTTAGTGAGAAAAATCGAAAAAACGAACTACAAACATATTAACGCCAAACATTCGGTAGAATTTATAGAATATTGTAAAATATATATATATATATATATATATATATATATATATATAATAAGAGAAAACTTAATATAGCGTTCGTTATAGCAGTTTTCACAAACGCTATCAAATTATAACTAATATTAATAACAAAATAGCAAGAATGAAAAGAGATGAACTATAATGAAAAAAGGTATGTCTTTAATTGTCTTTTAAATTCAGCAATGTTCATTCCAGGCATTCTGAGGGCTGACGGCAAGCCGTTCCATACGACAGGGCCTGACACAGCAAAATCACGCGATCCAATCTTTAGCTGTCTATGAGGAACCACAAGAATATTCGAATCGTCAGACCTCAGACGCACACCAGATGCGATCGACGTTTTTAACTTCAGTTTATCTGATAAATATTTTGGAGCCAGACCATTTAGTGATTTGAAAACTGTGACAGTGATTTTAAAAACAATTCTTTTATTTATGGGTAACCAATGCAAATCACTCAGGATCGGTGTGGCATGATCATACCATCGACATCCAGCCACAATCCAGGGAGTACGGTTTTGTATCGATTGCAGAATTTTGATGGATCTAGCCGGGAGTCCATAAAATAAACTACTGCAATAATCGACATGTGAGTGCACCAACGCATGCGCCAGATTCTGCATTGCGTCTTTATCAAGTGATTCTCGAATTTGTTTAATTCTTCTAATCTGTGCAAAGCATGATATAGAGATCATTTTAAAATGAGATTTCATTGTTACGTTTGAATCAATTATAAAACCTAGGTTCGACACTGCTTTACAGAAATCTATTTATTTATCATTCGTAACAACTGAATTTATATCCAAGTCTGCCAACTGCTGCCAGGTACCAATAGGAAGAAATTTTGTTATTACCCTGGTTAAGCTTCAATTCATTTCTCGACATCCACAGATTAACCTCCGTAATAACTGCGTGCTTACATTTATTCGGAAATACTCCCTCTGGCAAACATAAGTTAACAAGGCTAGCGAGAAAAACAATAAAAAATCTATATGTTTTTTAAGCACATGAGTCGGAAAAGCATCTAACATACAGGTTTTGGCCGGTAGACCAAGCACAATTTTCTTTATGTCTAGTTCCTCAACGACCGCAAAGTTTGTGAGTGGACAATTTTCGGTAAGCCTACATCTGTCAAAATAGGTTTTTCATCAAAACTAATAGTATGCTTGATCTTGATCCGATCGGTCTTTTGATGAATAAAAACTTAAATTGAGAAGCGGTGATGTTGACATTATCATGAAGTAAGCTATGGTTATTATCTTTACAAAGAAATTTGTTTACTACGTTTCATAGACTCTTTGAGTCGCCATTACTATCAGCAATCAACGGTTTCCAGTAATCATTTCCTTTTATTGAAAATAGTTTGGTTTTATTTTTCAAAGAAGCAGTTCATTCATTTCGGCTCACTGATGACAAACAACATCTGTATTTCCTTTCTTTAATTCGTCAGTATCTTTTAGCTGCTCTACACTCATCATCAAATCATGGAGCCATAAGATCACTTCTATGCTCGATAGACCGGAGAGGCGCAATTTTGTCAGCAATCTTTCTCATTTCGTTATTTAAAACATCAAATTCACGATTCACATCTCGACTTTGACAAGGCTCATGTAGTGGTGAATTCATAACATGCATGGTCGGTCAGTATATTTTCATCAATACGTTTCTATGACTTAGCTAATCTAGAAGTTTTGTTATTACATGCTCGAGTTATCGGTATGTCAACATGTATCAAGCTATGATCTGTGTAAACTCCACAAGGGAATAATCTGATATTTGTAACTTCAAAATTGTGTGAAGCAACTACTAAATCAAGTGTACCACCGAGAACATGTGTTGACTCATTGATGTAATTTGTTAATTGGAACATTTCAAACACTTCAATCAGATTAACGGTATGTCGATCTTTGTTTATTTCAACGTGTATGTTAAAATCGCCAACTAACATAACATTCAAACTTAAAATTGTAATATTTTCCAAAACACATTTGAGTTCATCGAAAAATGTAGAACTGACTTGAGCCGAACCTGGTCGGTATAACGCCAATAAAAAAAAGTCTTTATTATTTACGATCATTTTAATAGCTACAGCTTCGAATGTTGTTAGAACAGGTAGTTCAATTAATTTATATTTAAAGTTTGATCTAAAAACTACAATTATTCCTCCATGCCGCGGATCATTTAATCTAAGAAAATCAACATAACGATAACATGATGATATAGATGATTTTACTGAAATATTGCCCGTTGAACCATGCCATGTTTCCACTAAAACAAAGATATCCAAACCCTCTTGGATTAATTCATAAATAATATCAGACTGAATTGACAGATGTTATATTAAGTAGGCCAAGCAAAATGTTGCACTTATTTTTTGTTGCTTCTGTAGCCAAATCTTTAATTACTTTATTTTTACTGAGACAATTGTTTAAGTGAACTTTTTTTGAAACTATTATCTTCCATCTTCCAACTGGTCCTCTGACACGGTATACAAAATTTTCTTTATCATCAGATTGCATTGATTTAGCTTTTTCAACAAACGTTTTATACTCCTGCCTCTGTTCCTTTGTCAAATCATCACTTAGTTCAACACCGGCAAATTTATCAGCTATTGTTTTCATCTTGTAAACATTTCTCATTATTGAATTCTTGATCTTTGCATTTTCCAGCTTTATCAACAACGGTCTGACTACATCATCACTTTTTTTTACCTAGCCTTGTTGTTCTTAGAACATCCTTCTCTGAAATGTCTTCAACCAAATGTTGCAGTATCTTCATAACATCAGTGCGATCATTGTCGCTCTCAACTAAGCGAAAAACCATCAGGCTTGACTCTGTTTTTCATCTCATTCACTTCAGTCAACACTTTCTGAACGGTTCTAACTTCATTGTTAATTATTTCAGTAATTTTTTTACTTCTTTATTGACAATGCTAGCGAAGGTAGTACTCATTTCTTGCTTTAAACTCTTAATGTCATATCAACCAATTTATTTTCGTTCGAAGTTATCAAAATTTTAAAATTGACTATTTCTAATCGAACCTGAGCGTTGACTTCATCCAGTTTCTCAAGTTTTGTTATCATCTCATTTTTGTTACTGTCAATTTTATCCAATATATCTTGTTTACTAGCATCCACTGATTTTGAGAGTGAATCTAAGTTGAACGGAAGCTTCACACAACTATCACAGAACCATTTCAAACCCCTGCAGTTTTTCAAATTGTCAAGTAAACTATAAACTATCATTAGTAGAAATACACTTTACATGTACGACAATATATCACAACGACTGCAACGTAATACACTATCCTTATCTTTCACATTTGTACTGCCTAAAAACTTAGCACATTTAGGAGACATGTTTACCTGGATACGGATACAGTCAAGACAGCGCTATTGGCTGAGCGTTGCAATTAGTCACGTGATAACAACTATTTGAAAAACTATATATATATATATATATATATATATATATTATATATATTTTTACAATATTCTATAAATTCTACCGAATGTTTGGCGTTAATATGTTTGTAGTTCGTTTAGTTAAAGGAGTTAATAATATAAATTATAAGAAATAGAATATTAGATATTAAAATGAATAAATAAATGAATAACAACCTAGATTTTATAATTAACTCATTATATTGTTGAAAATAAACGAATAAATTTAAAAGAAAAATTATGAGTAAAATTGTTTGTGTATTATCGTAGTTGAAGTGTACATGGTTAGCATAGTGACGAGAAGTAATGCGGAAATTATGGGAAGTCGATAATAATATTTAATGATATGACAGTTTATTGAAGAATTATTAGATATTTAACAATTGGATTTAATATTATTTAGCAATAAATATGTATAAAGAAATATTAAGGCGTGGCAAATAATGAAGTTAGTGAACAAATTGTTTGAGTTTTATGGCGTGAAGAGACAAACGGATTGTTGTTAATGGTGCGTTCTTGTGTGTTATATTCGTATTTATATTTGGTGTGTAGTTGCTGTCTATTGATGACGTTTGGCAATTGAGGCAGTACAACGTCGCGATATTGGGTAAAAAGTTGTAAGACGTGGGCGAAATGGTCTGACTGCGTGTTGATTGTTGGTTTATTATTGAGGATGAGAATAGCTTCTTTTATTTTGAGTCTTGAGGGACGACGTTCATTACAAAGTATGCTAGTGTTATTATCAAGAATTTTCCGAGTAACTGGTATGTTGTGCTGCTTATTGAAGTGATCCTTGATAGCGCCTTGCTGTACATGCATGGTAAGTGTTGTACGTGTGTGTCCAATATATGTTTCCACATCACGGTGTGGCAAAGGACATCGAAATTGGTACACGACGTTCGTACTATCTAGATTATCTTTTGTAGTGGTTGGACTGTTTTTGATGACTAATTGTTGTGTTTTTGTTGTATCATAATATATTATTAACTTAATCTTTTTATTTTCATCTTCTGATGTGAGATTTGATCTAATGATTTGTTTAATTTGTTTTTCATCAATTAGATAGTTATTATGCATTTGATTTTTGTAGTAAATAGGTATTGTTTGTTGTTCGTGCTGTGGTTGTAGAAAGTGGTTGTTTGAATTTCTTGAGAGATTTAGATATGACGTCGTCGATGAGTGTATTTGGATAATTATTATTAATAAGTAACTGTTTGATTCTTTGAATTTCTATGTGAAGAGATTCATCGTCGGTAGATAATTTAAAAGCGCGTGTGATGAAGTTTTTAATGACGTTGTTTTTGTATTTGACGGGACAATCGGAATTGTAGTTTAAGCATTGTCCAGAGTTTGTTGGTTTGACGTATACTTGGGTAGAGAGCTGATTTGCGTGCATGGTGACTAAAGTGTGTCAAGGAAAGAGATTTTATTATTGTTACTAACTTCAATTGTAAATGATAAGCAAGAGTTGTTCTGGAACAGGTTTTGGAGTTGATATATGTCAGCTATAGACTTTGTGATGATAAATATATCGTCGACGTAGCGGGCGTAGATAAGCGGTTTGTTTTCTGGATCGGAAAATATCTTAGATTCTAGATTACCCATGTAGAACTCGGCGAAGAGAGGGCCTAATGGGGAGCCCATGGCTATGCCGTCTATTTGTAGATACAGTGAGTTATTTGGGGCGACAAATGGATTGCGTATGGTACATAGTTGGAGGAGCTCTTTAAGTAAATGAGGAGGAATGTCGAGTTGAGGAAGAGAAGGGTGGTTGTATACGTATTGGCAGATAATTTCAATAGTTTGCAGGACTGGTATGTTGGTAAAAAGGCTTTCAACGTCCAACGACGACAAGTGTCCTGTGGTATCTTTATGGCTATGGATGATGTCGGCAAATTTATAACTTGATTTAACGGAAAAGTTACGGGGTACGTATGGCAAGAGAAGTTGATTGATAGTTTTAGCTAACTGGTAGGTTGGAGTTGGGCATTGAGAGATGATGGGGCGTAGTGGGTTGTTAGGTTTGTGTATTTTTACATTACCATAGATATATCCTGGAGAGTAGTCACCAACGATTGGTGTTAGTTTGACGTTGGACGAACTGAGGTTGATTTGTGCAATCAATTTATTAGCGTCTGTTTTGATATCGGATGTGGGGTCTTTATTAATTGGTGAAAATTTTGTACTATCAGAGAGGATGTTATTAATTTGATGAAGATAGTCGGACCTATTAAGGATAACGTATGTGGTAGACTTGTCAGATTTACGTATGGTAATAGCCTTATTTTGACGTAGTTGTTTGGCAGCGTGAAACATGATGGGCTCTATTGTATGTTTTGTTGGTGTATAATAATTGGGGTGTAATCTTCAACCGAACATGTTTATCTGAGAACCTCATACCAATATATATATATATATATATATATATATATATATATATATATATATAGAAGTCGAAAATTATGTTGACTCATTTGAGAATGGTTAACCAAATTTTTATAAATTTTAATGATGTTTCTGAAAACGAAAAATATGTCGAATTATGGTCAAATGTAACAGGGACTTCACACAACAGTCTACACATTGATAGAATTAGGAGCTAACATGTCAGTCATTGCCCCTGATGGCTCTGATGTTATGATCAAGGTATTCATACTTTTGCTGTTTTATTTTATGTAACAATCCTTTTTTAACAAATTAATTTACATTTGTAATAATTACTGATGATGACAATACATTGTGAATAATACACAAACACGTGCATACAGGGCCCGATTAAACTTTTATATATTACACAGATCAATCAATCAATCTTCGTTTTGCGTCCAGAGACCCGGTTTCCCGAGGTAGGACGTTGTTTTCTTTGCCATCAACTTTTTGCGCCAAATTAGACGATCAGTTGTATCCATTTCATTTAAATTTAGAGCTTTCATGTCTTGCTCGATTGTTTGCGACCAGGACTTCTTTGGACGGCCTTTGGGACGTGTGCCAGGTACTTCAACATCTGCAAGAGAAGTTATGGCACTGTTTACACTTCGTTTGACATGACCAAACCACCGCAGACGGTGTTGCCGGCATTCGTCCTTTATATCATCTAAACCAGCACAACGCAGGATTTCGGTAGATTTGATGTGGTCCTTTAGACTAATTCGTTGCATCCATCGAAGCATTTTCATGTCGGTTCGTTGAAGTTGTTGTTCCAGTTTGGTTGTCATTGGCCATGTTTCTGCACCATATAACAACACCGGACGTATCACAGATTTATAAAGTCTTGATCGTAGTGGTAGTGGGATGTCACGCCGCATCAATATAGAGGCAAGGAGATGCCATTTATTCCAGGCTGCACGTATGCGTGCTCGAACGGCAGCTTCAGCTGTTCCAGTACAATCCAGAACATCTCCTAGATATTGAAACGATGTGACTTTCTCTATTTTAATGGCTTCAAAAACTGTGCTATTTCGAATTTGTTGTTGTGGATTGATGCAAGCAGGACAAACAAAATTGGACACTTTAGATAAAGTACTAATTATTTTTGAACAACGTTTGTGACACCACTGGTTACACTGCTGACACTTGATTGAATTGTTACCTACACCAGCTTTACAAACTGAACAGGGCCATCGTCCAGTAGCTGTGGATTGGATGGGTTCACCAGTGTTCATTGCTTTGGTTTTGCTGATGTTGACTTTGAATCCATGATCGGCGAGTCTGGTGTTCCAATCTTCAAACATCTGTGCTGCATTCTGCTCAGACGTGGCTGTTAAAACGATATCATCAGCATATACTAGATTCCAAATGTCACCAGTGCGTATCGGTTTTGTGATTTCTTCCATCACAGTTCTAAATAACAGTGGACTGAGAATCGAGCCTTGGTGAACTCCAACGCCGATGTCAAATGCATCTGTGTTTCCAACCGTTTTGCTGACAAAAGTCTTAGTATTCGTATACATTTCCATCCCAAGTCGAACAAGATATTCTGGAATGAATTGTCGACGTAGACTCCATCTGATTGCTTCACGGGGAACTCGATCAAATGCTTTTTCAAGGTTTTTCAATGCTTTTTAAATTACACAGATGAGGGTAAATTGTCACAAATCAATTTTACAATATTTAAATGATGATTTCTGTCAACTTTCTAATATTAATTTTACACTATTAACAAATAATGAAGAATATCCGTTATCTGCAAATAAATTGCTTTTTATATGGTCAGCGAGTTAGCTCAATCGGTTGAAGCGCCATGTCTGACGCTGCTATGTGCAATGGCATGGTTCGATCGAATATTGTTTGTCCAAAACTTAAAGACCATCGTATGATGAAGTGCTTGCACATGCATATATAATGTGTATGTGCGTTGGAGTTCACCGAGGCTCGATTCTCAGTCCACTGTTATTTATAACTGTGATGGAAGAACTTACAAAGCCGATACGCACTGGTGACATTTAGAATCTAATATATGCTGATGATATCATTTTAACAGCCACGTCAGAGCAGAATTCCAGTGGTGTCACAAACGTTGTTCAAAAATAATTGGTACTTTATCTAAAGTGTCCAATTTTGTTTGTCCTGCTTGCATCAATCCACAACAACAAATTCAAAATAGCACTGTTTTTGAAGCCATTAAGGTAGAGAAAGTCACATTGTTTCAATATCTAGGGGATGTTCTGGATTGTACTGGAACAGCTGAAGCTGCCGTTCGAGCACGCATACGTGCAGCCTGGAATAAATGGCATCTCCTTGTCTCTATATTGATGCGGCGTGACATCCCACTACCACTACGATAAAGACTTTATAAATCTGTGATACGTCCGGTGTTGTTACATGGTGCAGAAACATAGCCAATGACAACCAAACTGGAACAACAACTTCAACGAACCGACATGAAAATGCTGCGATGGATGCAACGAATTAATCTGAAAGACCACATCAAATCTACCGAAATCCTGCGTCGTGCTGGTTTAAATGATATAAAGGACGAATGCCGGCAACAATTCAATCGTCTGTCGGTGGTTTGGTCATGTCAAACGAAATGGAAACAGTGCCATAACTTCTCTTGCAGGTGTTGAAGTACCTGGCACACGTCCCAAAGGCCGTCCAAAGACGTCCTGGTCGCAAACAATCGAGCAAGACATGGAAGCTCCTAATTTAAATGAAATGGATACAACTGATCGTCTAATTTGGCGCAAAAAATTTATGTCAAGGAAAACATCGTCTTTCCTCGGAGGAACTGGGTCTTTGGACGCTAAACGAAGATTGATTGATTGATATTGACTGATATTGCAATTAAGTTAATAAATAGTTGGTTTTATTGACGTATTTTTGTTCGAAACATTAAAAAAATCTGCCTTTAGGTGTGTATGTATTTGTTCGTGTTTCAAGTTTTTAAATTATTATAAGTTGCTTTTTATTATTTCGCTGTTGCTTGTGCAAAGAGCGGAAAAAATACACGTCCCACGCACACTAAAGCGGCCACGGTGCAAAATTTAAGACTGTCTCGCCTCAATTCGAGACGGTTGAGTATCTTGTATTCTAATCTATTGTTATTTCTCAGACTGTGTCTAAACCGTCTCAAACTCCAACCCGCTTATGTTAATCATTAATTATATACTGTTGCATATCTTATTATTAACATGTTAATGTACATATGATACTCTTTATAAAGTATCTTAAAACTCCTGCTGAGAAATAAAAATGATTGTTATTGATCCTGTGGCAGGTGTGGCTTCGTTGAAACACTATGCGACATTAGGTAACGCTATTACAAATATACTTTTTAAATTTATAGTCCTATTCTTGTCAATTAACAGGCAATAAGAGGAAATCATAAAAGGGTGGTGCACTTGTTGTTAGGGAAGGGGTACAACCTTAGCACTCAACTTCCTTCTAGCATCAGTCGGGACGGCTCTGTCTATTTGACGCAGTATTGCAAACAAGTCAATGCCAATGATGCTGCTGAAGTCTTTCACGTGTTCAAAATGAGGTTCGTTATTTTTGCACGTTTCATAATTACTCGGTTTTTATTTAGAAAGACGGCGTACACGTGATAATTCCATGCATCCTATGCCTTTTTCGCATGTATGAGATTGCTTTTTATTTAAAATTTTTTGCAATCTTACTTAATCCAACCATTGACATAACCCTGTACTTTTGTTTGTCAACAGCTAAAATGCAAATAAAATGAACCAGCAACCCATCCTTATGATTTTGTTTACTAAGATAACTATTAGCATGAAATACAATCAACAAGCGATGCAAATAATTGTTATCTATTAATATTTATATTTTTGTTACTATTTATTGGAAGTAGGTAACAGTAATACAGAGTCTTTGCTCACCTTTTCGTGTTGTGAAGTATATTAACATTACACTAATCGAATTAATTGATTGTGACAATAATAAGGTAGTTTCAACTGCAAACCTCATTCCCGCACATTCAGATACAACAATGAACTCGTGCAAAAGGCTAGCCAATGCTTTGAAGGTTCTCTCAAGATAGATCTTCCTGTTTTTCCAATTCAATGCTTACGTGTTATCGATTCTGATATGTTCACAATAATTTTCAAACACGAGTTACAACCGACGAAAAAACGTTCGTTTTGCTAATTTTTTTTTCAATAATATTACTCTAAAAAAGTTAAAAAGAATTGAAGATTATTTTAAAATTTAAAAAATGGTATCAATTCAGAAAAAGGAATGTTGTTGTTTGTGGGTCATGCTGTTGTGGCTACCCACGAAGTAACATGTCAACTAAAAGGCAAAAGTCTCGTCGCCAAAGCTTCACTTAATGATAATCCACTTTCATCCATCTCAGATGTTTGTTTGTTTCAGTTTTTTCAATGCTTTTGCATTTCATTCTGTAAAATTTTTTTTGTTTAATTGCTGGAACTTGAAATGTTAAATAGACTTTCAAAAAGATTCTCGCTGATTTTTTAACGTTTTAGCACCACTGGAAATAAGAGTAATTTTTTCCCATATGAATCGCTTGCTATTGATTTTTCTACTCCAGTTTTAGTAATTATATTAGTTTTCATAGCTCAATAAATCTGCTTGTTTACTGGCATACACTGTTGCTGTTGGTAAAGCTATCAAATGCTTCAGATTTTAAGAACATCAACACCTACTTTTTAATGAAAACATTCACATATACTGAAATTGTTTGAACATCATTAACATTTGAAGGATGCCAATTTCATATACACGTTCACGCCCCTTGTTGACGGCACGAACAAACTGCAACTACAAACTCTACCGTTGAACATTAACAATTACCAGGTTAGCTACCCTTTTTTCATTTTACTGAATTTATCAATCTTAAAATATGTTTTTTGATTTGCAGACATGCCTAATTGTTTGCGCCTACTCTATAACATTGAGCATATGAAGGTTGCTGGATCGAATGATTAGTAAACAAAAATAGATTGAATGATTATTATCGCCTGGAAAGATTGAATGATTCAATTTGTTGAACAATCTTTATTTGACTTAATTTTTTGCTGATTTCGTTTCTATAAAATAAACAAATTTTCTCTCTTGGCTCAAAATCTTTATTGGACATTTTCACAATACTAATACAAGAAAAATGTTATTTCCAAATATCGGACAAAAAAAATATTATGGTTCTTTTTCAACTTGAAAATCTTTAAACTTTTTATTAGCATTAGCAAAATTATCAGTTTGATATATAGCATGTAATGATTATTAAAAATCATACAGTTCAAACAAAAAATACAACAAAAATGAAAACTGCAGATTTGCGCTTAAACAAGAATCAACTACAATTTCACAATATATCTTATACATCTTCTCGAATGATTTATGTTAAATTGTAACATTTGAGAACAATTTGGTCCAACAGAAAACACAAATTTTTTTAAATTTCAACAATATTTATAAAATGATTGGTTTACTAATTTTTTCTGTTAAAGAGAACACATGAATTGATTTAATAAATTTTTTTGTTGGTGGTAGATGTAATCACAATAAAAATATTTAAATAGATAAATAAATAGATAAATTTATTTATTATTTCCACACTCTAGATTAAATAACATAAATAGCAAAATAAAAACCTTAAATGGAATGATGATTGCAGATATAACATATTTCACAATTTATACACTTGTCAGAAAAAGTAAACTTCTGTATGACTGGAATTGTTTGGAAAAATAATTAAAAAAGGCTTGAAAAGTTTATGTATAACAAAAAATAACTTGACTATTTTGTTTGATGCAAAACAAGCACATTTTGAGACCCACAGAACATAACTGAAAATTTGAAAAAAGTAACACAATGTAGCTTGACTTAATTCTTGAATTAAAATAAATAATGTAGTTTTTTGCCCAAAAAGGATGACTTTGCACTGGGCTTATTTACTGGTTGATTCTTCTCAATGGAACTAAAATGGACAGCTGACTACCACCATACTAAACACTGAATCAGAGCATCTACGCACACGCACATACGTTATATATATATTTATTATATATATATATATATATATATATATATATATATATATATATATATATATATACATACACACACACACACACACACATATATATATATATATATAAATACTGCAAAACAAAAAAGTAACACCATAATATAAAATGATAAAACAAGAAGTAACAAGCAATGATTATTCTTCATAATTGTTAATAATTGTGGTACAACACCAGGTATGTATACATATATATCCAAATGTTTATTTGTTAAAATCTTGCTAGATAAATATATGTATATACATATTTATGTGTGTGTGTGTATGCATACATATATGCATTTAACACCCCAAAATTAAAGATATGAAGATTAGAAAGATAACATTCTACCTCATTTCCATTCTGCAAATGACTGCTGTACACATTTATGTATATAAGTAAGAATGTAGTGTATATATGTATATATATATATATATATATATATATATATATATATATATATATATATATATATATATATATATATATGGTAACAGCTATTTCGCTTATGTACCACATGTATGTAGACTTGCACATGATTAATTTAAATGAAACAGCTCATTCGTAAGGTCATCAAAGATATAATTACAAAAAATTGAGGTGATTCAACAAGAATGCCACATGAAAAAATTAAAAACATTTCCTGTCTGTATAATGATGATAGAGTTTCATTATTTCACGATGATGACAACACTGACAATAACAACACTAATATAGCTATTAGAAATAAAATTAACATTAGCATACACTAGTGAAATTAAAAATTTTTCATTATAAATATTATTATTAGTAGTATTATTATTTTATTATTGCTTGCTATTAACAAATATTTACATTTTAATATTTTTCCTCATAAATAAATTTGAAGTAACTTCCAAACTATTATGATTATTATTATTCTACTGATAATATGTACAAATACCATCCTTCACCATGTATTAACAAATTAAATTAGATATGCATGACACCAATAAATGAACAATTTAGAAAATTATTATCCTAAGGACAATTAATTAATTTTTAACAAACAATAACAAATACCACAGACAGTAAAATAAATTTTCAAATAATGAAGGTTTTTTCTAAAAATAACAAAAAATTAGGGAGGGTTGACAATGAAATGATTTGCCACAACTACCCTAAATGAGAATCTTCAACAGTAAGTGGCGGTTCAGAGTTAAGTTGCCTTGGTGATGATCTGTAACAAATGGAAACTGGAGTACAAACTAAGGATGTGTCATTTAATAAAACTGCAGCAGCTGTAGCCGCTTCTAAGTTTTCTGGATGAAGTTGTGGCATTGGTAAATCAACATCCTCCATTTTAAACTGTTGCGAGTTGTTATTATCAGTAATGAGGCTGTTATCGTTGTCAACAACACCATCAGGAGAAATTATAAAATGCTTTTTGACGAGATGTTTTCTCAGTTCAATAGGTAGCAAAAAAGTTTCCCCACACTGACCACAAACATGCTTCTTAGCTCCATGCCAATGGTTACGTAGCTTGTGTATGCGCAATGCACCAGCAGAGTAGAAGAATCGTTCACAGAGTTCACACGGGTAAACACGTGCTCGGGTGTGAACAGCATTGACATGATTTTTCAAGTAGCACTTTGTCGAAAGAAATATACCGCAGAACATGCATTGGAATTTTTTACGGCGCGATATTGCAGCTTCTAGATCAGATGATGTAGATATTTTTGCTGATGTAGAGGTTGATGTCGTTGATGATGTCAAAGATGGAGACGTAGTCATTGAAATTGATGTTGAATCATTTGGAAAGGTGCCATTGTTTAATGAATTGGTATGGCTATCATCACTCACCATGCTTTCAATTATTGGTGGGCCATCTAAACTAGGGGGTGTGGAATCAGATTGAAGGTTATCTTGTTGTTGTTGCTGCTGTTGTTGCAAAGACTGTTGCATCTGCTGTTGCTCAATGTACATTAACTGTTGCTGCTGTTGTTGTTGTAAACTGTGAGGAATGTATGCATAAGTGGCTATAGATGAGTTTAAATTGTCTGGACTTTTTGAGGATTGCAGATCCACTGCAGTGACCTGATGACCTGAACTGTTTATGAAGCTGGCCACTACACCTGATTTCAATTTTTGATTAGGATATTTAGGTAGGCTGTGTGCTAATGTTTGTATGTCAGGTAGCTTGATGTGATTCTGAGAGGATGGAGTGGCCAGATTTCGTTCATATATAGATGATGGTGGTGACTCTTTTAATGATAAATTTATTCTGTTTGTGCTTTCATTTTGAATATGTTGGCTGTGTTTTGACTTTCGGCTTTGTTGTTGCTGCTGCTGCTGATTTGTTTGTTGCTGTTGCAACTGTTGATTGGGCAATTTGGCAACCAGATTTTCAAAAGGACGTACAGTAGCTTGGTTTATTCGTATTTCTTCATTAGACTCCTGCACTAACATCTGCACCCCAGTAGAATTTGAGTCTGGCTGTTTGAGATGCAGATGATGATGATACACTGCAGTAGTCAATTGTGCATTACTCCCAAGACCAACTGTGAGCTGCTGGGGTATGATTGCCTGAAGTTGTTGGTTATTATCTTCACGTAAAGCAGCCACTCTTTCAACCTGCATAGCAACAGATGACTGCTGCATGTTTGCATTGACCAGATGAACATCTCCTCCGCTGGACGACAAATACAACTCTGCTGCTAACTGTTGAGGAGTGTGGTGATGGTTGTGATGGTTGACAGTAGCTGGAATTTGCAGATGGGCAAATGGAAATGTTGCTGCTGCCATACTTAATCTTGTTGCTAGCTCGGCAATCCTGGCTGCATCATGCTGGCCCTTGACCGATTCCTCATCTAAAAGACAAGTGAGTACCTTTTGACCATCTGATCTTACATGCAAACTGCCTGTAATTTCCAATTTGGAATCATATTTTATATTAATTTCACATAAGGCTTTAATAGTTTTGACTAGAACGACACTCAATGTCGGGCACAAAAGTTTGGTGCTATCCATGGACTAGATTACAATACCTGATTAATGAATTTAAAAATATAGTAAATACAAGTTAAAAGTAAGTAAAATATAGTATTCTCAATTCAATGCTTTCTTGAATATAACCAGAGACCCGACCTGCACAAATTTTTGCTGCCTTTTATTTATATGCTTTATATCTCAATTCAACTGAATTGTGCATGACCAAAAATCAACCTATGAAATCTAAATTTCACATAACAATAAAATAACTAATTATTTAATGCTACACAAACACTGGTCACACCACTGACCAAACCCCAAAAATGATTTGCTGGTTTTGTTTCAAGAAAAAAAAGCATTTCTTTGCATGGCGGATCTCCGGACTAACTACAAAAAATTTAATAGAAAAAAACCTATAGAAAACTGTACAATTCGTGCCAATGATTAGTATTTGGATTGGTATTAGATAGGTGCTGTTTGTGACTGATGGGTACCTCCAGCCAAGTTTCCTAATATGGCCTAGATACGTTAAACTGCAAAAATATATTGAAAACTGAAATAAAACTCATCATTTCAAAATTCAACTTTCCAAATGCAACTGAATTTCAAATTTCATTGGGTTTATTTTGATTATTTAAAACCTTCTTCAGATTTTGGCAAAATAATTCACACACTAAACTTCCGGCGCAACCAAAGACCTGTTTAACTACAATCGATTTTCATACTCGGATGGATTGACTTTATTCGAAATTTTTACAACATTTTTTCGTTATTCTGGCTATCCTACGCCACTTCTAAAAAATTAATTGAATATTATTTATTCATAGATTTTTGCTACGTTATTATTATTAGTTATTGTATTTAGTTAGTATCAAATAACAATTATTATTTTGGGAACACTTTTTTTATATTTTTATACAATTTTATTTTATTTACCTTATTTTATAATTGATTATATTGTTTGTAATTATTTTTTCCTCTTTTATTGCTTTTAATATTTGTTTTATACTTCGATTTTATCATTACCATTATTTATACTACTATTTATACTAATTTAATATTTTCATTTACTGTCACCAACATATATTTCATATTATTTTATTTTACTCTTACTAAATGTAACTTATACATTTTATATTCATAATTTTATTTCCATCGTTTCATACCAATATTTCTCAAAGTGAGCTATAGCGCCCTCTTTTGTGCGCTGAAGTCTTACTGGGGAACGATGACAGGCTTTGACAAAATTTAAGAACTTTAGAAATTTTATGTTTATGGTATTGATCATTTTTTGCTGGGATTACAAAAACCATATCTTTGAACCAGTAAAAATCTTTTTCTATGCTAACCTGGCGGATACCCATCAACGTTATTGCCAATTTATAAACAGAGCTTAAAATCTTCCAGACGCAAAAAAATGTATTTAGCTACAAAAACAAATCCCTTTGTTTTAACCTGGATTGTGGTAAATTGTTCAACGATTTTCGCCTGCATTTCCATCCTCGTATTTGTGCAAACGTGGGTTTAGTGCTGTGACAACGCTTTTAACAAAAAAGAAATAATTTGAATATTAATACACGTAGAGATTTAAGGCTGTTTTCCCTAAATTTGTGCCTGATACTAACGGTCTTATAAAAAATCATCAAATTCATCCATCACTTTAAATTCCTTTATGTTCAATTGTTTGTTCGTTTCAATTTTGATTTAAAAATATTCTTTCTTTGTAAAACTGTATTTTTTTTCTCAAAATTTATATAATTTTAAAATAAGTGTATGCACGGGGAAACGAGACTAATATATATTACCATTATAACATCAACTTACTAAGAAGCTAACTTTGTTCACATTTCTTTCAAGTGAAAAGACTTAAAGCGGAGGGGTCATTAGAAAAATGTTTTTCCTTAAAGAGTTTCATACCTTGTATGTTGTTTGTTACTTTCGCTGCGTTTGACAGTTTGATTTACAGAATAAAAAAAACGAAATTTTTTAAATTCAATGACGTGAATGACACAATGTGACAAGATTGGTGATTGCGTGTCAATTATGGAAGGAAAATTAATTATAATATTAATATATAATTATTAATTAATGATATATTAATAATAAATATTAATATTATAATAATAATTAGGAAAAAGGATGTAGGCAGAAATGTTAAAGTTTAGGCTAAAATAAACAAAATCTCTACATCTGGGGCGTCATTTGGGCAGGGGGGCAGGGGGGCCTCTCTCAAGGAATTAGATTTTTCAAATCCGATTTTTGAAATTTAGCAAAATAAATTTATAACAATATTATACTAAAAAACACCAAAAAACCATATATAATATTTTTAATTATAATTATATATAATATATAATTAACATTATATAATATTGTTCCGTCTTTGTGTCTTTGTTTTCACAGCGACTTTGATTGTAACTTAATTAGAATTAAAGTTAATCATGTGTTTCTTTGTTGGAAGAACATTGGTATTATTTAGTTGAATATTTACTGCTGGTTTACGTTTATCGATGAAAATTGATTCTGCTATCTTTAATTTGAAGTATTCTCTGTTGTAATAAATATAATTAACATTATATGCTTTTGTATTTATTAGTGCAAAATGGCATGTAAGTTTCAACAAAACTAAGAGGACACAATGAAACAGAATTATTGGCTAACAAGGGAAACCTTATAGAATTGTTAAACATATTCACAGTTTTTGCTCTGGAACTTAAAAACAAGCTTCAACGTCGTTACGTTCATTACACTTGTCCTGAATACCAAAATGATATAATTCATTGTCTAGCCCAACAGGTGCGACTCAATATTGTAAAAAAGGTCAGATATTGGTCAATACTTGTTGATAAAACCAAAGACCAAACCGAAAAGGAACAGCTCAGTTGCGTCATAAAATATACTGATAATGGCGTCATCAATGAAAAACCACTTGGAGCGTATCACATGCATCTAACATCGTCTATCATTGATATTACTGATAAATTTAAGCTGAATCGGAACCTCATGATCGCTCAGTGTTAGGATGGAGCCTCAATTATGAGTGGTGCACACTCCGGTTTCTAAGCCAGAATCAAGGAAAAGCCCCACAAGCAATTTACTTTCACTCCGGTTTCTAAGCCAGAATCAAGGAAAAGCCCCACAAGCAATTTACTTTCACTGTCAAGCACATCGTCTGAATTTGGTTCTAATACAGACTGTTAGAAGCATCAGTGATGTTAATGCATTTTTTAACAGTCCAACAGCTGTATGTCTTTCTGTCTCAAAGCAATATTCGTCATGAATTGTTCGTGCAGATGCAAAAAAATCAAAACGTACAAATTCTCTAGCTTGAGCGTCCAGTTGATACTCGTTGGTCTTAATGGTATTGATCAGTTAACAAAATTAAAGTACGATTAGATAAAACTATTTCAAACTTTCCAATTAATTGAAAACCAGGACTATTGTGTATAGCTGCTGCAAAAGCTAGAGGTTTGCTTGTAAATATTAAACTTTGGAACTTTTGCGCTATTTTGATGAGTATGGATGCAGTTCTGTCAACTGTCTACGGTCTTTTTCGTAGCAAGGCGATATCAGCGAGATAATGGTTGAAATTCATCTGTCTCTAGATCAGCAAAAATAGAGATTTCTGGGTTGGCGCATGATTTTATGGTTTCGAAAATTACTGTTAGAATTTCTTATTGTGTACTCATTAACGCCGATATTGAGCTGCGGTTGGAGAGTACATGTTTGTTAGTTCGTTGATTGTTACATAGTGAACACTGGGCAGTAGAAGACTTTTCCCATCTGGATAGATTTGCACTTGTTGGCATTGTTATATCAAACCATTTTTGACAAATCTGAACAGAACCTCTGGAAGGCTGGCAATGTATCGCAACCAGTGATCAATCCAAGCTGCAGAAATATGACTACAAATTGCCTTGATTATTGTACCCTGACAACTATCTGAAAATATTTATTATAATAACCAATTCATTAAATGTAAATCAAACGGTAGACGTATCTGGAGTTTACTGAAATCTTGTCTAGGACTTAAATATCCACCACCATTAAATATCATGATTAATAATAATTTTATCATGAACGATGCTTTACTGTGTAATTTATTTAATAAAAATTTTTTGTCAACGAATAATGTTAATAATTCTACTCATTTTTTTGTTATTGATTCCGGTTTTAAAAAGTATGTTCATGGGGTTTTGGATACACTTGTTCTGTTTGAATGCCTTCCGTTTGAAACCATTGATGTCGTTAAAATTTTAAAAATTCTATTAGTTGTGGTGATGATCTCATATCTAATTTTGTATTAAAAAATATTATTCATAGCGTTGTTCATCTTACCGTTGTTCATATAATCAATCTATCTTTTAAAAATGGTCTTTTTCCTGAATGTTTAAAAATTTCCAAACTTTTGCCTTTATTTAAATCTGGTGATCGTCATTCTATTAATAATTATCGTCCAGTTTCTATTCTTTCAAGTTTGTCCAAGTTAATTGAAAAAATTGTTTTAAACCGTCTTAATAGATTTTTTAATTCTTATAATGTTATTTGCACTAATCAATATGGTTTTCGTGAAAAATTGTCTTCTGAATTTGCTGTTGCAGATGTAATAAATTATATTTCTCTTGCACTAGAATCTAAAAAATACTCTATAGGCGTTTTCATTGATCTTTGTAAGGCCTTTGATTCTTTAAATCATAATATTTTAATGTCTAAATTATATTTTTATGGATTTTGTGGTTTATCTTATAAACGGTTTTCTTCATATGTGTCTGATCGTTTTCAGTATGTTTCTATAAATAACTCTAAGTCTTTCTTTCTCCAATTTCTTCTGGGGTTCCGCAGGGTTCTATTCTAGGACCTCTACTTTTTAATATATATATTAATGATTTCATAAATTCTTTAACTATTCTTAGATTTTTTCTATTTGCCGACGACACTATTCTTCTTTATTCTCATTCTGATATCAATACTCTGGTGTCCATTATTAACGATGAGTTAAAGTTTATTTATGAATGGGTAGTTGCAAATAATTTGCGTAT